TACATTAATTCCTAAATTGCTTTGTATCACAAAGATATTATGGGCTGTGGAGGTACATGTTTTTGTCCTCTTTACCTTGTTTATAGAGAAATACACATTAGGGTTTAACTTGCTCCTAGCTTTGCTACTCTAGCTGTCTTTCAAGTGAAGAAGATACTATGCCTTGCACTATCTGTACTGAATTTCTGAAGCCTGTTTTCAGCCGTTCTCAGTTATCTATCTTCTTTTGAAGCCTGTTTTCAGCTGCTCTCAAAATCTACATGTGTAATCTGTCAAAACTCTTAAGTTTTCATGAGCTCAAGTGCACCTGTGCAGCTGATCACGAGTGGGCACTGCTTGCCTGTTCTCCTTGATGGCATTGCTGCTAAGCCATGGCTGGCTGTCAGTTCTAGTGCTGTCCTTGGTCTTTTCGCTGTTCTCATTCATTTCTCTGTCTTTCTTCTATAGTATACGGCTCCTTCTCCAGGTTTCCTCCTCAGCAGCACATCCATGGTGGAGTTTGGCTCCCTGAGACAGGCGAAAGCAGCTCTTGAAGCACAACTGCCCTGCTCACCCGAGCCTCCTGAGCTGTCTTGCAGTGGTTGAATGAAGGATGGCTGAGGCAGCAGACATGGAAGGTGAGTGTGGTTTAGGAAACAACCCATTTCCTTATCCTCAGTCACAAGGCTCCATCCCATTAGTAGTGCAGAGTAGTGCAGCCATAACTTGGTGATTGGCAAGGAAGGTGTGGAATAAACAGAACTGTCACTAGTCAGAGTTTGGAGAATGTCAGGGTGATTTCTGCAAGGGTAGAGAATTGCACATGTCTAAATGGTGTTTGTGGAACACTCAATTTAAAACTTGAACTCACAGGCATTAACTGAAAGAGGGAAACAAGGCTGTAAATTGTGTTCATTACAGTCCTTTTATGGAGAAGAAATGCTGGGAATATCAGCAGGCTCACAGGCAATAAGGTGTGCTTTAGTCCTACTCCAAAGCAGTGTTTCCCTGTTTTATGGTATGAATACACCAGCTAAGCACTCTGCTGTATCAGGAGCACGGGTTGCCCGCAAGCACAGGAGCCTGAATGGGTTTTGGTTTTACAACCAGGATGGAAAGAGGAAAACCACGAAAGAAACTGAGTGAAGGTGTACAGGGCAAAGAACTGACTGGCAGTGTGGTTAAGGCATGCAGAGCTGTGATTTTGGGGAGATAAGGAAGGATGCTGTGGCTGTAATAGCTGTTAATCCAGCTGAACACAAGAGGGCTACAAGAGCAAGTTTTGGATTGAAAAAGTTCTTGATGGAGCTTTGGTAATGCCTGTTTACCTTTTGGCCTGCTTTTAATTTTATACAGCTGGGAAATGAAATGGAATGCCACTTGAGACCCTTTAAGTGCTTGTGTACACCTATCACTTCAGTACAGACTATAATTATTTGGATTGCTATTTTTAATATTTTCTAATACTTTATAAATGTTGGGATTACTTACTGAACATGTTGCTGCTGATAAGGTACCAACATCTGTGGCACAGGTACATGATTTGGTACGTGCTCTAGTGATATGAATGCTTTGTTCTGCACTTAAATTGTGGAGAATCCAGACTTTGTGAGCAAATAAGGAAAAGGGAACAAGAAAAGCAGTCTGGAAAAGTACAAGCCCTGCCTAGTAACCAAGTGCAAGTGTTAGGTTGCTTCTCTATTGATCCGAAGTGCAATTAAAAGCTACCTCCTGCAGCTGAATTTAAATTGGGCTTTTAAAGTTTTTTTCTTTACCCCACAGACCTAGTATCTAGTGGTTAAAAACCTGCACAGCAGGTCTCCTATAAAATCACCAAGTGGAGTGTTCATCAGCCTCAACTCCTTGGTTTGCACAGGGCAATTTACCTGAAGGAGTCTGTGAACTCAGTTCAGGTGCTGAAAAACGACACCAAAGCATCTGCTGGCTAGAATCAGAATAAGTGCCCAGTATTCTGTCTCATTTGTTGTGGTACTCAGTGTCAGTGAAAAGACTTCTTCCTGCAATAAAAGGATGCTTTGGGGTTTTTTCAGAAGGAAAGCTTGTGCAGTTTTGTTTCCAAGAAAGTGAGAATGTTAGATTTTGTTCATTCCCTACTGTTCTTTAGACAGTAGTTTGTGTCTCTTAATTGAAGCTGACAGGATTTGTTTCTCTTAAAATGCATAGGAAAATAACTTCCCAATTAATTGTAAATCATTGTGAATATATAGCTTTACTTATATGTTTCAGGATTAGCTTCTGAAATACACAAAGCTTGCAGAGATTAGGAGGACCCAAGACAAAGCCTGTTGCAGGTTTAGGCATCTGACATTTTAGCAATGGCTTCTTTTCACATAAATAATGCCCAGAGCCACCAAAACTGCTGCAGGCACTCAAGGCTCACTGAATCCACTGTAACTCTTGGTGTGAATGTTTTCTACTTCTGAATATGACAGGCTGCAAGGAGAGTGGAATATAAGCAAAGAGGATAAAATACGCCAAAGCAGTAAAAAGCTCCTTGCCTCTCTTTAAAGCCTTTCAAATAACCCTTAAGAAAGAAAATGTTTATAGTCCTTCCATGCAGAAAAGGAAGCTAAAAAAGAAGGGTCTCAAACCTGCTTTTTGCAGCAGTTTTGAATTAGAGAAATAAATATGCATTACTTTGCAAACATTCATGTTCAAGTTAACTAACTGAGCATAAGGGAAGCACTGGAAGGAGCTCATGTTGTGGCATTTAACTGACATAAGTTCACCCCATTGGTTAACCTGGCACAACTGTGTGTCCCAGCTGCCTTCCCCTGCTGAGTGACACTAATAGCTCAAACTTCCCAGCTAGAAACTCCTGATGGTTATCTTCTTTATCAGAAAATTATACAGCTACACAGTGCTAGTGGAAGAGAGACAGGGAGGGGAGAATTCCAAGTCCTTACCATGGCTAGTTAGGCAGTCATTAAGTGCAGCCTGGCTTTCTGAGCTGGAAAGCATCTAATTTAGGCATGATCCTATATCTGCAGGCTTGTTTCTGTAGGGCTTCTCTCTGCCAGCTTCCAAGATTGGCCATAATAGGCTGACTTTGCTTACTGTTCTTAATGTTCAGTCTATCCATGTTGTGTTTGCTGCTGCTGCCACTTTTTTCTGATTACTTGCAAAGACACACAAGCAGCAAGCTGGTTCCCTTGAGTTTATGGCCTAATTAGGTAAGATCTTTGCATAGGAAACTAAAATTATTGGGGAACAGTTGTTAAGCAAAAAAATATTATTGCCCATCACCTGAGTAAATTACACAGGTAGGGAGTGAGGGGTATGTTCATCCCTTAATTTCAAATTCCTTTTGGAGATGGAAGTATTGATGCCTCACATCTGTTGCACTGTGGTGTCCACGTTTTTGTGTGTTAGGCAAATCCAGTTCGGAGTGTTCCCTGAGACCTGGCTTTCCCAGAGCTGCAGTGCTGTGAGCACTGCCCGTTCACCCAAGGGAGTGTTTGGGGTTTAAGTGCAGAGTCAGCCCCAGTTCTGCATAGGCCACAGCAGGTAGAGCTGGGGGTGCAAGGGACAGGGGTATGAACATGGTTATGGGGAAGGCAGACATTTATCTCCTGGGTACTGTGGCACTTTGTGCGTCTTTTGGAGAATGTGGTAAAAGGTTTTGGTCTGCTTTAACAGATTCTGATTGTACTAAGTATGTATTTGGCAGGCTCACTGAAGGCAAGGTGGTGCCCCAGTAAAACCAGTGAGGCCAGTGCTGTCTGGCAGCACGGCAGGGTATGTGCTGCACCCCACAGCACAAAGTGTGAGACGTTCCTGTCCTCTGGAGATAGTGCTGCTTTATGGGCCCGGGCTGCGCACTTGGGAAGGGCAGAGGCCAGGGCAGTGAGCAGATGGAGTAGCTCTGAGATCTGTGAGGCAGCTGGGCTTGTACTGTGTGTGTGTGGTGCACTCCAGAAGTGAAAGCAGAGCACTAGGCAGCCGGCAGCATCACAGCATAGCGTGCCATGTGCTGCTTGGTGGGCTGGGGCTGCAAGATGCAGAAACCACAGCTCAGCAAGCGGCCGTGAAGGACTCCAGGAACAGTGTGTCTGTATAGACCAACCCAAAACTTATGGAGGGCTGAGCGGAGTAGGGTCATGCACAGTTAGGGAAATGTGGAAATTACCTCCATGCTGTTGAATGAGCATAAGGAGCACACACCTGCATTTGCACTCTGCTCTCGCAAATTTGCGCTTCTAACTGGGAGCAGGTTTCAGCCCAACTGCCCTCTCTGCCCTACATGCACAATTGCTTTTAGCTAGGGATCTCTCTTTCTTCTCTGAAGCCAGAGGCTGCAGAAGGGTTGTTGTTGACACCACAGGGATCGCTGAAGTCCCCAGGTGCCTTTGCATTTCTTTGCCTTTCTCACTGATAGCTCACATGCACCGCTGCACCCAGGAGCAGGACACAGTTTTTCCCTGCCTGAGCAGCTGGGATCCATATCCTGAACGGATGCATGCTGTGCTCTGGGAGATGTCTCTCCTTTGGACTACAGACATGGGACTTAAGCACTTTATGCTCCTGCAGTAGTTTGTATTTGGATCAGACTCCTCGTAGAATTGAGAAGCCTTAGGCCTGGATTTAGATCTTTTGACTCAAGTGCTGAGTCTGTGGATGTTGCACATTCTTTTGGCACCAGCTGCTTACCAGCAAATCCCTGCCACAGGTTACAGGGATTTACTGCTGTCCTGCCCTCTCATCCAGCTGCATCACAAAGCACCGGTGAGCCAAGCCCAGCCACTGAAGGTATTTCAACTACCAGAGTTCCATTTTGATGGAGATGGGCAGCAGAGCAATCATGCCTGCAGATCTCCCCGTGTCTTTAGGGCATGGATGCTTGACGGGGGATGACCTGAACTGCGTTTTGTTGGTGTCGGCTGTGCCGAGGTGAGAAAGGCGCCCTGGGAGCGGCTGGCCGGGCCGGGCACCGCGGTTGTCAGCAGCCTCGCCGCCGGCCTGCCCCGCCCGGCCCCGGCCCCGGCCCGGCCCCGCAGCCCGGCCCGTGCCCCGCGGCGGTGCCGGGCGGCGGGAGGAGCGCCGCCAGTTCCCTTTCGGGGCATTGTGGGAAGCCGATGCGGCCCGGCCTCACCTGAGCGGGGCGGGCGGGACGGAGGCGGCGGGCCGGGCTGGGCCGGCTCCCAGCCAGCCGCCGCGCCATGGTGAGTGAGCGGGGCCGGGGCAGCCGGCCGTGCCCCGCCGGGCCCGGGACGGGCGCGTTGTCAGGCACGGAGCGGGGCGGCGGAGCGGGGCTGCCCTCGGCACCGGCTGCGCCGCACGCTGAAGCCGCTCCCAGGCGGGCTCGAGCGAGGCTTGCACCTGTTCGGGGGAAATGGAAGTTCTCCTTTTTTGTTTTCCGTTTTGTTTCCCGACCCTGGGGATGAGCTCGGGTCACGCCGAGAGCCTATCTTAGACAACCAGGAAAGCCAGGCTGCTACAGAGAGGCTTTAAAAAGTCTTCCTGTAACTCGAGGAGCTGAGGTGCAAGTCGGCTCCAGTGCCTGGAGAAGGATCGAGTGAGGTTTGCTGTGGGTCTGTCTGTCTCTAGGCTGACTGGCGGCGGTCAGTGTTGGGCGGTGGGGTTTCTTGTGCGGGATGGTTGGGAAGAGCTCTTCCCCAGGTGTGTTCCCTGTTGCCAGGTAAGTGGAGGGCTCGCACTGCAGCACTGCCTCCAGCCCTGGTGCTTCTGCACCGCTGCCGGCTCTGGTGGGGCTTGTTGGGATTTGGCTGCACCTTTCCATCAGCTAATGAGTGCACCAGCGAGAGCGTGTGGGTCTGGTTCTGAACCTTCTGTCGGTCACCAGTGTCACTGTGCGACCCGGCTCCGGGGCTGGCAGTGCCGCTTCGAGCTGGGAAGGGCAGCAGCCCTTCAGGTTAAAGGGCTGAGAAGGGAGAGCCTTCGCCTCTCCAGTGCTGCGCTTGGTGCTGCTTTGCTGTGATCAGAAAGGGGTGCTGTGGATGCTCTCCTTTGTTAAGAATGATGGCCAACATCGGAGTACAATAGCTAGATTTTCCCTAGAGGAGACTGCAGGCTCCCAAGTAGAGAGGGTCAGTGATGCCTCTTAATAGAGAAACCATCTCACTGCTTGATAATTCAGGCTTGAGGCAGGTTCTACGGGCATTCCCCGAGCTGCTGTCTTGCACAATTTGCCCATTGTGTGCACCTGTAATACCAGTTACTGGCAGGGCAGCTGAACAGAAGCCTCTCAACTCCTTCAGTGGAGGCCAAGTGCTGTTGTTTGTCTCTATCCTCAAAGGCAGAGCTGTGTTGTTTCTCTTCAGTGGTTTAGCCAGAATGCAAAATATGTGTTAGTCTCCTGTATTTAGAAAGGTGTACCTGTCATTATATTTGCAAATGGAATATGCACAGTAATGAGTTTACAAATGGCAATCCAGTCTCCACACCTTAAGTCCCTGTAGAGATGTGACTTTTCTGGTTACACCCTGAGACAGCCCTACATACACGGTTCCCTTTGGTAAAGCTTATGTAAACAACAGGAGTTCCTATTTTGCCGTTGAAGGTCAGTTAATATGGGAGCTGATTTCAGGGAATGTGATCTCCGAACTCTCCTTGATGCGGGTACTTCACAAATGCCAGTTTTCAAAGCACTCACGATAGTCCCAGGGGAGCACTGTTTTTACAAGAGTGCTGCTCTTGACGATCTGGAGTCTGGCTGCTGTATTGATGGTTAGAATTTTACAAGATGAGTGTGCATTTTTACAAGTAAGAATTTTCTTTTACTTTTTTGTTTGAGGCCATGGAACAAACACTTGCTGGTGTTACTGCATCATATTAGTGCTGTCAGCCTTACCCTGTTCTTGAGGATCGGGTGCTCATGAAACAATGCTTTTGTCAGGGAGCTCTCACTTTAAATTCCTTTTGTCATCTAGTCTCTGGAAAGGGGTAGGGGTTCTTAACAGTCGCTTATTAGTCAAGAAAAAAGGGTTTGCTGGTTTTTAAACCAAGAATAAGCCTTATCCACGCTCAGGAGTGGTGAACTTTACACAGGCCATTGAAACTTTTCATAGACTGGTTCCTCTGTTTTGGAATGAGTTGTGCTTGCCACCTTTTTCTGTGTTTTGAGGTGGAATTAAAGGTGCTTGTGCAAATGGTGCCATGTCTTAGCAAGAGGATTGTTCCAATTGTTTGCTCTCTTACAGATTTCCAGGTAAGTTTCAGGGAAGAGTCTGTTCAGCAGAGCTGATTTCATATCCAGCTAAGAAACACAGCTTTTATGACCAGCTTGTGCTTTGTGACATGTTTTTCTAAAAATTACTTTTTAGAAAGACTAAATTCTGCTTCCTGATATATGTGGGTGCAGCAGAGATACATGTTGTGAAGGATTGCTGTCTCGACAAAGTCGGAGTGGGGAGAGAGCACAGAGGAGGAAAAGATAAGTCTCCCCAAGGACATGTGTTGCTGTTAGTCTCTTGTGCCTGTAAGTGTTGCAACACCTCGATTCTCCTGCTGCCTCGGTGTTATCAGGATTACTTTTGTGAATAAATACAGAGCTCTGCTTGCATAGCTCTGCTCAGAATTGGTGCCTGTATAGTAAAGGGTCTGATTCCCTCCTACCTGTGCTGCTCATCACTACAGGGAGACAAATTAGTATTTGTGGGCTTGATCTGAAACCCTGGAGAAAGATCAAAAGAATCCCATTGAGCACAGTTGCTCTAAAAATGTACTTGGCCTGAATAGAAAAGGAGTTGGCAAGCACTGTTTCCACTTAGCAAGACTTTGATAACCAGTCACTGATCTAGAAGCTGGGGTGGAAATATTGGTTGCTGTGGCTGCTGCTGACACCTCCCTGGTGTTTGGAAATGAAGTCTCAGCTCTTCTGAATATTGAGATAATCAACACTCTCAATGCCCTTAATGGTGAAAATGGATGTAGATCTGCAAAAGATGTTTTCAGTGCTGCACAGAATTTACTATTTACAGTTCTAAGAATGACTGCTTATTTTCCACTCATGATACAGATGTGTATTGGCCTCAGGAGGACAATGAACTTTGCCTCTAGGCATTTACCTCTGAAAGACAAGGAAGGCAACAGATTAGAACAGATGAGAGGAGAGAAAATGACAAATAAACTAGTGTGTTGTTGGAGGCAGCAATTCTTATACTAGATGACAAAAAAAGTTAATGTGGTATTTCTTTGTTGATTTGTCTAGTAGTGAGCTTTTACTATGGTAGTACATAATGGCGATGGAATGGCATCCTGTGTAGAAGATCCTTAGTTTGTAAAAGACTTTCTGCTTGCAAAGGGGTGACTGCAGGGGAAGTAATAGAAACACATGAAATCATGAACACTTGAAGATTGGTTGCTCTACAAAGAATCAGGGTACATCCTGTAAAATTTTTAGTCACTAAATGTATAAAAGATAAATGGGAATACTTTTTCACACAGTGTAGATGACTGTTTTCAGTCCACTGCTGAGCGTGCTGTGGGTGTCCCAGTAAAGGTGGGGCCACAAGTGAGTTGTTTGCATGCAGTTCCTGTCCCATAATTCTTAAAACTCTGATTCTTGGAGGTGGGACTACCAGGTGATTTTACACATGCCCTGTTCCTTATGCTTGTGTCCTTCTGGAAGCTGCTTAGATGAGAGTACAGTTCAGGTGCTGATCTGGCATTCTGTTACTCCCTGGCATTCAGTTAGATTTCAGAACAGTGTTTAGTGGGATTTGTGAGGAAAAATGTTTTGACAGTTCTTTGGAAGTGTGTAATCTCTGACTTGCCAGTTTTGGATGTTCCTGCTCCGAGTGCCCATGACCATTACAGATGGTCACTGTTTAATACTGGAGCCTGCTCAGGCCATGCAGGAATTGCCATTCATGCTTTACTATCCCTGGATATTAAGCTCATTCCTGAAAAGCAAAAAAAAAAAAAAAAAAAAAAAAAAAAGTTACGGAAGATCATCTGCTCATTATTTGCTTAATAATCAGCAGTGTAACAATATTTTCTTAAAAAAAAAATCTTTTGCTCAGAAATAAAGAAACTGCAGGCATTTCAGAGCCAGGAGTTACTAGGATGTGGGATGCCTGGAGGGCTCTAGAGAAAGCATTTAGGGATGGCAAATGCAGGAAGAAGGCTGCAGGGATGATGGGCAGCTGGGTCTGTCATGAGGCAAGAAAATGACAGATTTTGCTGCTTTTCCATGTCTTTAGTTGCTCCAAAATCCCATGCTTTATAAACGATCCCATGGACCTTCTGAAGCCATCAGTTACCTGCAAGAGCTGCAAAAGGACAATGTGATGAAAGCACTGAGGAAACTGGTGAGTCAGGGAGGGCAGATTTATACATTGGCATCCACGTCAGGCTGTGAGCCAGTCATGGTCTTGCTAGTGATGCCTAAATTTAAACAATACTGCTTGTGTGAAAAGAATTCTGTCACATGTGCCCAGTTACTGATTTCCATCCCTGCCCTTTCATTTCCTACTGTCCTATTCCTGCAGGCTGTCATCTGCATTTTCTTGGCTGAGTTGGCTCTGTGCTTTCTTGAGTGCCACTCCTGGGCCTTTGCATTTCTGCAGATGTTGCAATGTAGAGAGGGAATTGCAAGATCCAGTCCTGCAAGCATGGCACATCATTTGGGAGTAGGACTACAGGATGCAAAGGCTTTGGGTTAGGATGGGAAGGTACAATTTACATTTGCATGTTTGAAAGCAAGCTTGGCGTGCCTGTCTGACCTGGAATGTCCTGATGTGTGTTTCTCAGTATTACAGATACAACCCCAGGTACTCCATGCACCAGTGTTTTTTTCTTTTCTAGCTTGCTGAGTTTATGTAGGATATCCATCTGCTCTCCTCTGTTAAGGAGGGCATTAAAATCCCTCTTCACTAACCAGTAAATGCCTGTTGGAGCTTGGGGTAGTTTTGCTCAGACACTCAAGCAGTTCTCAGTGGCTTGTTAATCAGCACAGGAGCTCTGTGGTCACCATCCTCTGCTTAGCCCCCTGGGGTAAGTGATGGGCACTAACTACAAAGGAATGAGAAACAGACTCTTTGAGTGAAATGCAGAAATGTACCTTGTTGTGCAAGGCTGTGTGCTGGAAGGAGAGCAGGTGAGGTGTTGGGTGAGTGCCTGAGCTCCAGAGAAGCTGTGGGAAGTGCTGCATGAAACTCAACAGCCTCTGGGCTCAGGAGATGGAATGGGAAAGAGGCAG